TATCCATAAAGCTTACTACTGCTTATCATAATAGAAAAGACTTAGCCATGCCCTACCACAAAGATCAACAATACACAAGTGATTACATCACATTCCATATTGTAAACCACTTTATACGCATCCGTAGAGGAGTATTTGCGCTTCACACTTGTGAGTAGGAGAACACAGACTCAACCTGTGTAAAAATAGTTCTCCTCCCAAACTCCAATAAACGTCGACGATAGATCAACAGATTTGTTTTCAGCAAAACACATTTTTGATATGACTCATAAAATGGATATCAAAGCAGTGTTCAAGATCATATTACAAGAGTAAATGAGTCGTGCATATTAAAATATGCTGAGTCATTAATCACTGATAAGACCCTACCCCTCTTGTGTGTGCGGAAACAGCTTATTGTTACAACTAATCTAACCTAACAGTCATTATCTGATTATCATCAGCCTTACTTTTAAATTCTCTATCGTTTCCTTCCTTATTCTGACCTCATAATATTTTCAATTTTTACATAAATAGAATAAACTTGTAGGTGTGTGATCATCTACTGTTTCAGGTAAAGTATCCACTGTTTAAGTAGTCAACCATTTCTAATCTCTCCGTTGTCCAAACTAGTGATTTTGGCTTACTCCTTGAGATAATGAAATTCAAATTTAGTTAAAGTTTACAAGCTAAGAAGTAATTCCATGTTTCAAATATATGCTTACTTCAAAATTCCTCTTTCAGTTGATTTTGTGGTTTGCTTTCGTTAGATTTTGGAGCAATATACATCGGCTTTAGCCAGAGAAGGCTTCTTACACAAATAAGCAGGTAAATCCCAGAATGGTTGGTCCTACCTTGGAGAAAGGAAGGTTGTGAGAAGTTCCGTTGTAGAACACCTGATCGACTTCTACCAATCAGACAATCCCAACCAACCAATACAATAAGAGTGTCTTTCGGACTCATGCCTACTTCACGTGTTTTCTTCATTTCATGTGGTATCATAACATATCAGTAGATATGATTATAGGCAATAAATTATGCTCAAAATATCATCCAGTTAATAATACTGCGTCACTGTGCGTTGTATCAAGTGAACTTATCCAATATGGAACGAGGTCGTTGATTGGTTCATTGCCACAGCTCCTTGTTGCTCATTCCTTCCACTCATCTGATCTTCAGCAAGATGGTCTCAGAGAGAGAAAAAGTTTATAAAATTCTCTAGTAGCCTTGTGGATACGCTTTCGATGACATCACAAATTTCTGAGTCTTATAGAAGCCTACACTTGACTTCAGCTTCTAAATTCTAATCATCTTCATTGTGATTAATGCTTCAGTTTGTTTGTAGAATGGTTGATTAGATTACTGGGAGGGTATGACGCAAACTGAAAGAAAATATCCATCCAACAAACACCAATGTTTGACAAAGAAACAGCTCACTGATGCAAACAAAGCGAAGAAATTCTCGTCTCCTGTTACCTTCAGTTGCACTTATGCATTCACTTGTGCACTCGAAAGCACATAGATTAGAAGAACCAGAATAAGAGTTATTGTCTGCATTTCCGACCAATAAATATCCAACACAATTTGTAGAGTAGTGCTGTAAACGTGGAAGGAGAAGGGCACAGTACACTACTGTTGAGAATAAAACAGCTTTCCTTGAGTTAGCATTTAAAAGTGATGAGATTGCAAGAAGAATCGCAAGGTGAATAAACGATGCAATATCGAGGGCATATCCAACCGCCGAACTGGTCCTTAATCATAAAACAATCGATTAAAATACACAGTCCAGACTAGATCAATTTCTGCCTCTCCATAACTCCAGCTGTGTTTACGAATTCATCGATGAGTGTGGTAGGCAGTAAGTGAGAAGAATTGAGAAACGAGTGTTCATGAAGATTGTTGAACACGTGCTCAGGAGCTGATTTCCTAGAGGTCCAGCTTCACTTAGTCGTCCCATAACTAGTCACCGACTGGCCAGTTCAGAACACTAGATCAACAATATGGGAATCTTCCAATGTGGTGAACAGACAAAGCACTTCAAGACGACTTCAAACTGCTATATCTATCGTCATCTGGAGAGTGAGGTCTGAATTAGGCGTTCAGAAAGAGACTATCACCTACCTGCTACTACGTTGGTAAGCACAAACTGTTTCACCATAGTTTACCCAAATTTTATGTCAGTTTTATGACGCAACTTCATTTTTCTTTTCTCTGTTTTCTGACTAACTTTATTAACACCTTAGTGATTACTAACCTCAGTCATTTTGCATCGATAACTATTCGTATGATCATGCAGTAGTCGTGATTTATTTCTGAATTACCCTTAAATTCTCGAACATCTTCTTGCTTACAGTATAGCATGTTTATATTCAGGTTATAACTGATTATCCCAACTTTTGTGTAATCTGTACCTCGGATGTTGTTCTATCAAGATATTCTACGCTTATAAAGTGAGTTGATCATCCAGTTTAATTATGCATAAATCACGTGACACTGATTACTGATGCATTTACTGGTCAGGTTGTATGAGAGTGATAAAAAACCTTTGTAAAAATAGGAACTTGTATTATTCTGTATTAGTTGATATCACAGTATTATCCCGGTATATCAAAGTAGATAATTTCACGAAATTTCCTAGATGTTATTACCACACAGACTATAGATGCACTTTGAATTTTGCCAACTGTTCTAGCCAATGTACGAGATGTCCGTTGTTGTATATGAGATTCATGCATTCAACATCCATTTACTATTACACCTTTCTGTGTTTCCATAAAATGTCCACTCACAATAGCCATTTCTGTCCACCTGCTCAGTTGTCTTCAGCATTTTTGAGTCCACTTGATGACTGAAATGGCCAATGTGTGATGGTCAGAGGATTTCGTATGGGAAACACCTAAGTTGTGCCTGTAATGGAATCTTGGTTATGTTGGATTTCAACCACTGTGTGTCGGTGACACAGCGGTAGAGTGCTTTCCTACCACACAGGTGGTCCGAGGTAAGATCCCCGGCCGACGCATGCCTTTACTTCGCTAAGCGAGTAGTAATACTGGTAAAGAGGGGAGTTTGGGTATGACGGCTAGTAATTCCATCCTGTAAAAATAATCACCACTGTTACAGAACTTCAAGACTCTAGCTTGAAACCCTATGTTCCACTGGGAACCTAAAGGAATATAAAAGAACAACAGATGGGTTCTCGAAGAAATGACAACATCTACATCATAAATTTCTGAATATCATCTATATGACATGAATTACATCGTGATACTTATCACTGTTATTTAACTAACGTGTGCTTTCAAGAGAGGTTATAAGCAGTTGTTAATATTGATATAATCAGAAGCAGTAATATTACAGGGAGTTTGGCCAATGAAAGTATTATTATTATCGGTAGTGGTAATAATAATAATAATAATAGTAATAGTTTAGAACAATTAGTTCCCTTTATGAATTTACACAAAGTAATGAGAAGGCGTAATTTGTCTGAATCGTGTAATGCATTTACGCAACACATTTTCAACACTCTGATCTTGTTTCCATGATTTGAGTTCAAATCAGTTCATTGTTACCTAACTTATTAGTTACTATGCATCTAACTCGTATCTCATCTTTATTATGTAAATCCTTTACCATTAAATGCATACATTTATTTTGTTTTAACTTTAACTGCCTGTGTAAAAACTATATAAGCGCAATCTTCTGAACACTGTTTACTAATTATGGAACTTTCTGTCAATTGACAACATGTAAAATTTGCAAGTAAGTTAAAACGTTTCTGTACTTAAACCTCATAATTAGTTTAGGCTGTAAGCAGCTGATGAGAAGCCAACGAAATAAATGATGATACCACATTATTCTGCACAAACCATTGTTGTTCTTGCTTTATTCATATGAAAGTATTATTGTTATCAGCAATAATAATAATAATGATAATAACAGTTTGGAAAAATTAGTTCCATATATGAATTTACACAAAGTAATGAGAAGACGTAATTTGTCTGAATCGTGTAATGCATTTACGCAACACATTTTCAACACTCTGATCACACACGGACTTGTCATAGGAATGTATGTGAAGTTAATAAAGAATTAAGGGATGAGAAAATCGGCTTAGGTCAAGTTAAAAGGACATCCTGAAGGTCAGGTCATAGCAGCTAGACAACTACACAAAGATTGAACGCTGTAGTTGAAAATGACTTTTTATACAGCAAAAATTAGAATAAGTCAGAATGTGAAACCCATATATTCACCTAAGCCCTTAAAAGATACGAGAAATGGGTATCGCATCCCACTGTATTTACCAATTTGAATGTACGTGTAGACACGCATACATAGGGAGGACTCGTCGATCTCTACAAGTAAGCGCTAGATTCACAGCATATGCCTTATTGGCTTCAGAAGCAAAGAGAATTTCGAGAACCCATTAATGGTAAGAACGGGAGAACTGGCTACTCTATTGAGACAGGTCATAAAATTGTTGTTCACACATCTTTTGAACCTATTTGTAAAGCGTGTTTGGGATGTATCGTAAAGTTTGTGGAAGCCCTTGCTGGCAATTAGAAAGTTAAAACCACCCTTATGAGTTCAAAAACAATTTGTCATCATACTAAACCTTCCTTCGTAAACTTTGTTTCGATACCATATCGGATGTACTATCGCCTCTGTTATTGGGTTTAGTGATCTTCATTGTTAGTTTGACCTTCATCAATATGTCCTTTGAACTAGACCTAAGTGTCTATTTTCTCACCTCTTAACTCTTTATTAATTTCATATATATTCCTATAACAAGTCCATGTGTGTATGATCAGATTGTTCGAAGTGTGTTGTACAAATACTAATAGTAATAGTAAAAGTGTGAAGAAAGGGAGTAGTGACACATAACTAACTAAGTTCTACCATTGTAGTTCTTAATGAGAAAATACAATAGTCTGCAAGTATTCGATTGGTCAGATTATCAGTCAGAAAACACATAAATTGAGTTGGTAAATACATCGGAGGTAAACAACGCTCTTTAACTGAAAATGCAATCAATCTCCTGTTTCATTGTAGTCATCGTTTGCTTGGTAAACAGTAATGCAAATGCTAAAGACTCCTTGACTGTGGGACATTTGGAACTACTGGCATTGCATAATGCATATCGACAAAGTGTAAAGTATGGCAAAGTTGCAGGTCAACCGCCAGCAGCAAGCATGGCAAAGCTCGTACGTCTACCTACCTGTCTACATATATACATACACCAATGTATATTATACTCATCACTTACATAACTTACTTCAAATGAAATTGATTTTGTAAGACAAAAGGACTGAGGGGAGAATTATTTACCTCCAGTTAGTTTCTCATGTGTGGTTCTAGATTGCAGCTAAAGATAAAAATTGAAATGAGAAGTAAACAATTCTTCGCTTAGTCCTTTTTTCTTCTAAATATCTGAATGGGGATTTGTTTTTTTTGTTCACATTGAAACTGATTTACTCATTGACAATTGTACTGGCACTATTTCCTTCAGATATGGTCTTACGAATTGGCTAATGTTTCAAAGAGTTTGGCGAAAAAATGTCAACCTTATCCAAACAGTATTACAATGAGAGGTAAAACACGTTGGACTTATGTTGGACAAAATGTAGCTGTTGTTGCAGCAATTAGAGAGTAAGTTTTCCAACATTATTATATCTCAGTTATTTACTCTCATAATTGCAAACACCAACTTATCTCCATGACGGCAGTAATCTTTGTTTTTCCCCTAACCATATCATGTAAAGAGAATATTATATTCAATATTTTTAAACATGTTAGGATTTCTATACCACATTGCCAATATTGTGTGAAACAAGCCAACGGCAATTTTCACTTGTATTCTAATAAATATTACCCTAGCTGTTATCATTATTATTGTTATTTCCATTTTATATGCTGCATGTTTTTGACACTACCTCTATTGTAAATGTGGAAAATTTTCTGTGTGTGATTAATTTTTATTTATAATTTGAGGAAATTAGATGCAATATTGTGATTAATGCTGAAAATTCCATTCTGTATCACAAGTACTGTTTTTGGAATAAAGTAAATTATTATTATTATTATTAATGGACTTAAGGTTAAAATTGGTAAATCAAACGCCATGTAGTTAAATTTTTCATCTGTTTCTACTGCTCCTGTAGAACCAGATATATAAGTACTTCTCAGAAATCATCCATTCTAAAAACGTGTGACAATTTACCAACATATCTGAGTGAAAGAGACATTGAACGCATAAATAGACCAGTCAGATTGTATGTGCTAAGCAACGGAAAGCGAATCACCTGGAGTCAGGTTGTTTAGATAGTGATGCATTGTGATCCTTGTTGTCTATCACAACTTGAGATGACTGACAGTCACTCTTACACAAACAAAATTATGTTCATCAAGGCAAAATGAAACATTTGTGAGGTGTTTCTTGGAATTTATTTTATTAAATTAGTTTATGTGGGTTCTAGGTTATATCTAGCTTGACTTTACGAAGGCATTAATGCACTGAACAATGGGAAAATCTTGTTTGGATATTTGGACTTCTCATATTACAGGCAGTTTCAAGGACAACACTTTGTCATTCTGTTGCGTATTTGGATATGTAAAATATAACCAACTATGACATGATTTTCACTTCACCCACAGGATTTAAGTCTGCTTCGTCAAATTATTTCTGAACTGTAACAACTACTATCTGACTCTGGTACCGCGTGATAGAATGAAAAGTGTGTATGGCAGAGTTCCTATATCTATTCATTCAAACTGTTTCATGAGCACGAAACATTTTAAATTGTTATCTGACAAATATTGGCTGCAGGAAAAGAAATATTGTCGTTTCTCCTTTCAATCCCTAGTTTTTTAGTCTATCATGCTGTCACGTTAGACTTTCTAAACTCAGCCGAACGGAGAACTACATATCATACATACACATCATTCATCATGGAACTTGTGATATGAATTTGCCTTAATGTCATTGTTCGTTTACATTAACAGACACCTTGAAATCTAATAATACTACTTGAATATCGTGCCCAGATAGGGAGGTACTTTGAACACTGTTCACGTACTGTTATTATCATTACTGTTACCTTGGGTTCTGAGTGGAATATAAGGCTTCAACAGCACATCTCCACCTTCTATTTTCTGTCATCCTCTTCAGTTGGGTCCATGATTACCCAAACTCCTTCATCTCTTCCTCACACGACCTCCAGCATGTCATCTATGCACCAGTGACCCACTCATTGCTTACCATTTGAATTTCACTCGACGGCCTGGTGCGCGATTTCACATGACGGTTCTCTCAATGTGTGCCCGTTCCATCTCCATTTTCGCCTACAAGTTTGTTGAACATTTGGCTCTCGGTTGGTTTGTTCCCAGTTAGAGTTTCTTGTTACTAATTCTTCCTGGCCATCTGATCCTCAATATGGAGCGGGAGAAGGCAGCTGTCGATGAAGGTCGGCAACTTGTTCGAAATACTTTTCGTTACACGCAGTCCAAGTTTCTGACACGTATAGAAGGACCAAGTTGACATTGGTATTGAAAATCCGAATCTTGTTTTTCTTGCTAGTTGAGTGTGGAAGACTTCCAAACTGGTTTCAGGTTGATGAACATGTGACCTGCCTTTTCGATTTTGACGTAGAAATCTTCATTCATTCCGGCTGCCTGCAGTTGAAACGATGCTTCCTAGATAAATGAAGGAGGTGACCTCTGTCCACGTACTAACATACCAATTCCAATAACTGTCGACTAAAAGTGAACGCTGGAAACTGAAACCAGATAAGTTTTTGAGGTAAGAAATACCTTTAGAACTATCAGTAATCAGAAAAGTTTTTCCATTTAAGTTACGTGAATCTTTAAAATAATTTTGTATACTGACTACTAACTGTCTTATGTGTTCCTTTATTCATAGTGCTGCAGCCAGATGGTTCAGCGAACATTCAAACTATAATTTTGAAGCAAACGTGTGTAGACAGAATAGACAATGCGCAAATTATAAACAGGTAAGTCAGTATGAAATGTATTCAGGCGAAGGGAACATGTAGTGGCACAACTCTGTAGTGTACAACACAGTTTCCACTGAATGACATTGTCACAGTCACCTAATTTACTAAGCAGTCAATGGGATAACCAAAGATTAGAGATATCCATGTGAATAACACTGAATGAAGACAAATACTTTAGCACATATCGAAAAAATGTCATTCGATTGAAGATTTCGCTAATGAAACTAAAGTCTGAATAATCGAATAGGATTGACAAATGCGAAGTGATTCCTGGAAATAGAAAGACGGTCTGATTTGTTGCCACAATGATTATAATCTCAAAGTTTAGGAAATTGATGTGTCTATCATTTCGAAGTCTACCCCTCTTTTAGCGAGTAAGATTCTGCGAAGAGGAATCGCACTCGATAAATAACACCCTATGGCATAATATAGTTAAGTGACGGTGACTTTAGCCAATCAATCTATACTTTTACATTAATCAGGGTATATATAAAGTGAATTTACACATAGAATTAATATTTAGAGACAGTACGTAGGTGATTATTAATACTAAGCGAAATTTCAGCAAGATCACATTAACTATACCGGAGTCAACACTCCACTGTGTTCAGCAGCAATGAAAGTAGGTTTCCTGATGAGGATTCTATTCATTGTCCAATGTCCACTGAATAATTTTTGACACAGTGACAGAAACACCTTTTCTGCTATATTTCCAACAAATGTTTCTAAGCTTAACTGTATAAACAGTGTGCTATTTTTCGTCGAGTATCTCTAATTTTTCTGTACACAGTCTCTTGAAATTGTAACCAAATTACCAGTGTAGAACTTGTTGTCTGTCTGGTTTTGTCTCATTTTAACTCAGCATTACTACTACTCTTATGAGTTGTTTCACAGTTAGTAACCAATGTGATGGGGCTTAGCTCGCTTAACATTTCCTTCTATCATGTTCATACTTTACAGATGGTGTATTCTGAGACAACACATATCGGATGTGCATACAAATTGTGTGATAATTTCAAAGCACCATTTAATATTCTTGTTGTATGCACTTATGGACCTGGGTATGTCACATTAGAGAATCTTTTGTGCTCATTTGGCCACTTTCCTTACAAGGTGGTATTTGCTTTAAATATTCTTATTTTTGTGAAATGTTTATGTTGAAGTTTAATGCAGAGAAACTGTGAGAAACATCTCAGCAGTAAAATATTTAATTTATATATGAAATAGTGATCAAAGATGTCCGTTAAATCAAACATAGGTTAATGTAGATCAAATTTGGACTGTACATTTACACGGTGTGTAGTTGGTTTGTGAAGTGAACAGATATTTCATGAAATAGCATGCTATGAATTAAGTTATATGCTAAGATTGATCGGAGTTATTAGATTTATCCAGTAGAAACATTTCTGAATTGATCAGCTTATACTTATATGCGTTCAAATTAACTTTTAAATGATTATTGGATCATAGATGACATCGGATAAAAGAGCTTCTCATTCATCTCTGAATTGGTTCAGTTTCTTCTAATATTTTCTTCCAAGATAATCTGAACGATCAAGTTGAAATTGTTTTTACGCATTTTTAGCTTTTATCTGTTTCATGATGTATGTTCGCTAAGACTTGGCATATCCCTTGTAGTATCATCTGATTTCACGTGATTTATTTGTTAATCGTTAATCGTTGCTTGTTAATACTGTCAGGAGATGCACTCAATCAGATCAATATATTTTATCACGGGGTCGAACAATGCAAACAAATATACAAATCATATAAAAGCGAGAATTGCCTATATTTATAAGGCGTTATGTAGTGAATGTGTACCACCACAGTCTATCTTTAACAATTATTCCATCATAGGCGAAGACTCCGACAGTGAATTAGTTCAAGATACAACCTCAATATCGGGTAAATATTAGGTTAATGCATTGAGGAAACTTATAAATAAAAAGTGTACTGGCCCAATGGTGATTTATGATTTGAAACACTTACCCGAGTTATCCACTATAGAAATTCTTATAGAAATAGTCAACATTACATAGAAGATATTTTTTTGAAATTATCATATATTCATGGTGTGATTGATTTCAACTTCATTTTCAGTGGTAAATACTTCTCAAGAAGACCCTACACACCTTGGAAACACTCACTGGATGATTTATTTTATTCTCAAGATTTCTACTGATGGTTTGTTTATTGAAAAGGAGTCACTTAAAACCATGAATGGAATTTGTTTCGATAAAGAATAAATTATGTCATTTTGTAAGTTTTTAATAAATCCTTTCACCTCAGCCTGCCCAGTTTTCTTTTCAATAGTCTGGTTTAGTATTCGGTCAGTAATCTACAAGGGATACTACACTACTGGTAGAGAACACAGTGATTGAAAGACAGCGTAAGAATGCTAATAAGGAATACACGCTCATAATATATAGTATTACAGGTATTGTTATTCCATAGGGCTTCAACAATCCATTTCATTTTCACCTTTTTGTCTGCAGTCCTTCGGCTGGCACGCGATGTCGCTCAAATGTCTCCTCAGAGAGCATTCAGTCACAATCCATTTCCTTCTGCATATTTTTTGTGTGATATGGTCTTTGTCTCTGCATTGTATTGTAGACGGACATGTTCCATTCGATCTTCAGCATCAAACCAGTGAAAGCATTTGTTGATAAAATTCTGCAGTCTGTTGTAGATGCTTTTGGTGACAAATGAGCCAAATCTCTGAACCGTATAGAAGAACTGACTAGACGTTAGTTCTGAATATCTAAATCTTGTTTCGTATACTGAGGGCGGTAAATTTCCATACTGATTTCAGACCAGTGAAGCTTTCCCTTTCTATCATGTTTTGACATCCTCATACGTCGCAGTTTTAGAGTGTTATCCTTTCGAGTGGATATTTAACAGACAGTAATTGAATTGTGTGGCTAATGGTTAAAAGTGATTATAATATCCAGCTTAAAATTAAGACATTTGGGTTTAGCCGAGGCACTAGCCACCCAAAAGCTCAAAACCGCACCATGTATCCAAAAGAAATACGTTCAATCCTTGTCCCTGCCATGGTCATCATAAACAGGTAATTCTTCTGATAGTGACTATCCCATTGACTTTCTTATCCAAACTTCCTGTTTACTAATGTTATTTTAAGTTTTTCTTATTCCCTATTTACACAACCATATTTTCATATCCAAGCTTCCTATCTATTTTGTTATTTTATTATTTTTACACATTTAATCCCTGATTGAATAAACTATTATTCGTCACATAGGTTATCATCCCACTAGATTTTTGTTATCCAAATATCCTGTCTATTGTTGTTATTTCTACCTTTTAACTCCTAATTGCACAATCAATGTCAATTTTTCTAAGTAATTATGATGCAACTGTGTCTGAGCTTTATCTGTCCCCCTGTTTATTATGGCATTTTAATTCCTAATTGTAATTCTATTTATCTAACCTTTACTCTGGAACTTTCCCGACCATTTAAAATAAATACACGAATGTACAGCTACCTAGTTGATGATTTCGTCGAAAAGAAAATTTTCTTCGGTGAAACTGTCTTTTTATTCTCTATGATTAATAATAATAAATGGAAGAATTGGAAGAATACCGGAAAATGTTCATAGTGGGAATTATGAGGGAACAGTATACAGATTGAATAAAGAAAACGAAAAATAGATTAGTAAATAGTTTTCGTTTCTCTACCATTCTGCAAACTATCTGAAGAATTAATCACAAGAAAGATGATCAGAATTTCGAAAACTGAAGTCAAGTGGAAGTTTTTATAAGCTTCAGAAATTTGTGATGTCATAAAAAGCCTATCCAGAAGGCTACTGGAGAATTTTACTAACACTTGCCCTCTTAGACCACCTTACTGAAGATCAGATAGGCGAAAGAAATGAGCAATGTGTCCATCATTCACGATACGATATTCACCAGTGTGCATCTGACTACACAATCTGATAAAGTGTGTCCTCCGTTAAGTATATCAAGCATGAATTTCTATATTGTATTCACAACTATGCGTATTCTATAAAACACTGAGATTCCAAATATTAACGGTATACGGAAAAACATCTTTACATGTGATGTATTTACAAATTCTCGGCTATAGACAAGCAAATGCACCAGCGTTCCTTTCAACAAACATCGTCGAATTATGCAGACTACACGAAACGATGTATCAAATACTGTGTGGTCAATATCTTAAACATGTCACAATATCGATGAATTCACACCTCTACGCTCTCCTCTGCTCAGCCAATTTTAGAGATGCTCTTCAATATGGCAGGATAAGTTCCTCGACAAACTTCCTAAGTAACTAGCTCAGGAAGAACAGGTGAACATATAAATACACATGAAATCAGGGAGTCGAGGTAAAATTCCCTTAACACTATCTTATTTGACTTCGCTTCATGTTATTACATTCTTATATTTTATCACATATCTAATGTCGACATCATAACATATTCATTTATTCACAATTACCAATGTAGTTTATTTTCCTAAATTCCAATTCACACACGTCTATTCAACTTCGCGATAACCTCTATTTAGTTAGTCATTCATTCATATACCTAATCAGCTGCGACTCATGTATATAAATATATGCGTATGCATGTGTATATATCACCTGTTCGAATTACTTTCCTCCGGAGAGTAATAATTGCACACAACCAGATTCTTCCCAGTTGTTGGCAGATCTGGACACCAATGGAAACCACATCCCAAGAAGACTGTCCCAGGTAGAAGAAGCTGAAAACACACAGTGGAAGGAAACGAAGTTAACAGACAAATGTGAAGAGATGAGTAGAGTGGAATGTGAAGCCACTCACGTGTAGCTCCAGTATCTGAAATCACTCTATCAAAGTAACTCACATTTCTATAATTATCACATTTCCCGACTTCCTTGCACTCGCCAGTGTACACGTTGTAATTGGCACTCTCCACAGCCCACACCATCACTGCACTGAATTCAATCACTCGTCATCGATGAATGTTTCACACTTACTCTACAATATCGGAAGTAACGGCCACATTCTGGTTGATGTTTCGACGTCTGTTGTCTGTCCTGTCCTCTGGAGAACTGCGGTTGTTTTTACATTGTTGAGCCCACTGGTAGGCGTTGATGGCTAGATTGTTGTCCCATACCTTGAACAGGTAGAAGGAGAAAAATGGATGGTCAACGGGACAGTCAGATAACATTATGTGTCACAGAAATCAAATGTTCAACTCACGTAATCCTTGATTTTTCCGTCGCGTACCATCGGTGCATCCGGAAGCCAGAATTTCAACGACTGTTTCAGTAGATTGTGAGCCAGTAGGATTTCTGTGTCTATATCTGATATCGTTATGTGAGTGTGTGTGAGTGATACGAACAAGGTGATGTGTAGAATTATTGAAAGCATTCTGGAAGTTGTTGACTGGTGACTAGTGTGTTGATATTTCTGTGTATTTATATGCAGATTTGAGTGAGCAAATGTCACTCAGCTGGAGTGAGATTATTTCTAACCAGTCTGTGTGTCAGTCACTACATGAAGTGAGATTTTCATTTGATTGAAATCTGTTTAGTACATGAGATAGACTTTCCAATTCGCTTTAGTTAACTAAACATCTTATAGTTAGCTTTGATATGTTTGTTCAGTTCTGCATGTTGTTGTCTTTTTCTCAGTTTTATTTTTTAACTACTACTCAGGGAGTTAATTAGGGCTAACTACTGTTGATTACAGATTTCGCCGGTTGTTTTCACCTGCTCTTTATTTTGTTCTCAAGTTTTGTTTTTAAGACTTTCATTCTCCTCAGCCTTTATTTATTATTTTGATTCATTTCGGGACATTTTTCCTTTCTGTTTTCTCTGTCTTTCTATTTTTTTCAACTCTTTTCTGGCGAAATTTTAAGCGAATTCGCCAATACTTATTGAAATAGTAAATAAATTATTATTAGTAGGCGTATTTTTTCAATCTAGTGTTTGTGTATATATTCTACGATGTAACTACCAGGTTGTTAATTGCAAACTACCCCATGAATCTTCTTCCAGCGTCACGTTTCTTTGATTTTGCGGTTAATATTATAAGTGCTCTCACTAAATTACATTTGACACTCCAGATTTTACTTTACTTATCTGTGAATCTACTAAAGATATGGATAATCATTTTTTCTCTAACATTCTCAATAGGAGTCTTGTTGAATCATTCAGGTAGAATATTTCTCCTATTTCTGACTCCTCTTTACTACAACGGGTTACTTTTTGTCTAGGGGACATGGGTACACACTATGTGTCTTTTGAGCTATTGCATTTTTCCTGTTGTAAAGAATGATTTGATTCGTTGGATAATTATATTTAAAGAAGGTGAGTCTGTACGAACAGAATTTAGATCCACTGTGGTGATAGATGTTCTAGTGTAGGATTCTCAATCAACCAGCAGTTAAGGGGGCATTTAAAACTACAAAATGACTCAGAGACAAGCTCTGTAGTTCAAAGGACCCTGTTGACCCAGTTGGGCAAAATAATATAACTTACAAAATACCTTACAGTAACTCTGAATTCAAGTATATTAGTCGAACCAGTTGATCGGGGTAGTCAGATTATCAGAGCATAATAATTTAGCCAAGTGTGGATTGATTAACCCTACCACTATAAATAATTTAGTAAAAACGTCAGCGATTGCACTGGATGCATAAATACGCAACCACACAATAAGATGGGACAAAGTTGCAATTCTCGAAAGTAACGGGGATAGGTGGAGAGAGGGAGAGGCTGATTACTAAATCTTTGTTCATAGAACCTTCACCCAACATGTTCAGTAGGAATGACTCATCACCAATACGAGAGATATAGAAAACATTACAATTAATTAGATTGAGAGATGAGAAATAATTGAATTATATAAATAAAGTTAGACAGCTATGTGAGTAGTGTCTTGATATGATTATGAGCAGCAAGAAACTGTGTGCGCCATTGGTAAATATTACTGTATAACACTGCAAGACTTTAATAAAAATAAATTTTACTCACAATGGAATTCTACTTCACCAGAGTACACAATTTCTATTCTTATATCAAACATTTGGTTTAATATTATTCTATTGTACACTGTCACTACGGATTTTTCAGAAGTTATCCACAAATGTTTAGATAATCCAGAAGAAGGAGAGAACAAGTTTGACAATAAATCCTGGAATTTAGAA